CCCCGCTGCGGGAACCCTGCTCCTCCCCTTGGCCTCGCCCTGGCTTCTCCCAGCATCCAAGCTGGAAACGCTCCCCAAGAGCACGGGGTAGATCCATTGGGAACCCCCCTGTTGACCAGGACGTTGGACTCCAGGCTCAGCGTACAGGAAGAGGCAACGGGGAGCAAGGTCCAGCTCTTCCTCCCAGCAAAAACCACCTGGAAACCCGTTCTCTGCCCCCACGTTCCACCTTCCCTTGTTCCTCGCTCCATACTCGGCCCCTTTCCAGTGCCCAGGCAGGTGACAGGGAGCATCCCAAGGGACAGGGAGCATCCCAAGGGACAGGGGCTCCAAACAGCCCTACCCGGGAGCAGTTTTTTTAGGTCTGCACCGTTTCTGCAGCCTCCGTGGCCTTGATGTGCCGCAGGGTCTCGTCCAGCAGAACGTCCCCAGTGGGCGCATCCGACTTCAGGAGCACCTGGAAGGACACAGAGGGATGAGGCTGGGAGCTGAGCTGCACCTTCCTCTCCAGCAGCCTCTTCTTCCTCAGGGAGGGCGGCTCCAGGCGGATGCGGCCGCGGAACGCCAGCTCGAGGAGGATGCCGCCGCGCAGGCCCGAGGAGATGCAGTCGTTCCAGAAGGATGTGTAGCCCTGGGAGGAACAGGAGGGAGAGGTGGGAACAGGAGCTCTGTTAGAGCCATTCCTAAGCTCCTCCAGCTCCAACCCCTGCCCCGGGCACGGACACCTCCCACTAGAGCAGGTTGCTCCAAGCCCCTGTGTCCAACCTGCCCTTGAACACTGCCAGGGATGGGGCATGGATTTCCCACGTGGGAAGAGAAGATTCCCAGTGAGGGATGAGGATGGGAAAATCCATCCCATCTCTGCCCCCAGCTCAGGCATCTTGGGGCTGGGGTGCAGCACTTGGGGTCCCGCCGGTGGGGACCGGGCCCATTACAGGTGTTTTCCAAGCCTGCTCCAGGACACGGTGCTCGTCCTGGGAACCACGAGCTCCAAAATCGGGAGCAAAGCAACAGGAAGGTGCAGAGCTCTGGAAAACACAAGCCAGGGGGAACCGAGCAGTGGAATTGAGCTTGGTCCAGAGGAGATGGAAGGAGAGTGGGATAAGTGGGAGCAGCAGCAAAAAGGAAGGGAACGGCCGGTTCCCACTTCCACCGGGTGAAGTCCTGGGCTAAACCACAGCCAGGGAGGTTGGAGCTGGCACCAGGAAGAAGGAAGTGTCCGGACAAGAGAGCCCAGGAATGGTTTGCAGGGAGGGGAATCTCCGTCCCTTGAACATTGAGAACATTCCACTGATGCTTCCCAGGAGCTGAGCCTGGTTTGAAGCCACGAGGCAGCCCCCCCATTCACTTCCTCCACTTGTTCTCCATCATCCCCTGATGAGCACAAAGCCGGGTTATCCCAGCCCCGTGACTGTGCCCCCCCCACAGGGCGCCAGTCCCTGGGTTTCCAGGCCGGCAGCAGGGCTGGGAATGGGAAAGGGGCAGGCGCTGCTCTGATGGACCCCGAAACACCAGGAGCACCAGGGCCTGTTCCCAGCGAGCCCTTCGCTGCTGTTTTCCTCTGGAGAGGAGGAAAGGGCAGGTCCAACCGGACACTGCAGCCAAAGGAGCCCATCCCCAGGGAAGCAGGCTGGGACCACGCAGCCTCCTACATGGAAGCTTCCAGAGGCTTTGGTGTGGGTGAACTCTGGTGCACGGCGTGTTTGCCCAGTGCATCTGGACACCGGCTCGTGCTTGTGCAGCACAGGGGACAGCAAGGAAATGAGAGTCCTTGTTTGCTCCCTTCACTTCCTTGTGCGGGAAGACAAAGGCACCTTTAATCCCGGCCGTGTCCGCCCGTGCCCTTCGGGAACCGGTTCTCCAGCGGAGGGGACTGAGGTGGCACC